ATCGTTTATTATCACCTATTCGTGACAATATTCGTCAAATGACAGATAATGGATTAACAGCTGTACAAATTAAAAAGGTAATGAAAGTATTACATCCAGATCTTTTCATTGATTCAAAAATCAAAAGCGCTGTTGAATATAAACAACAACAAAATCGTTGTCGTATAAAATTCATTGAAGAATTATATTCGTGGTGTTCTCAACGCAATACATATCCATCAGTTGATAAAACACATGACGTTTTCGTACCATATTTTGAAGCTGTGGATGTAAATAATACATTTATTTGTTTAACTACACGTCAATTACTTTCAACATGTAAATATTCCTCTGTATTATATATTGGTTGTACATATAAAGTCACAGCTAACGAGTTACCATTATTAGTCTTTGGTACATCAGATTTCAATCGTCGATTTTATCCTATGGGTGTATGTTTAATATCTTCAGATGAATCATCTGAAACATTCAAAACTTTTTTTCGTGGTATTCAAGTTTGGGCATCGACTATCAATAATCAAGCATATACCGTATCACATGTTATGGGGGATGGTGCAGCAGGTATTACGGGTGCCATGTGTGAATTACCATTAGCGCGTCGTTTAATGTGCTGGGCACATGTCATCCGTAAAGTTCGTGGACATGGAACGTTAATTAAAAATAAAGACAAATTTTTATTAGTTGAACAAGATATTATGCAATTACAACTATCATTTAGCGATCAAATATTTGTCACAGCAGCCAATCTCATGATTAATAAATGGAAATTAGATAAAGAATTAGAAAAATTCACGGACTATTTTGAACAACAATGGTTGACAGTATTAAGTTTTTGGTATGAAGGTGCCTGTATTTTAACGCCATCAACAAATAATGGTTTAGAAAGTTTAAATGGTCGAATAAAACAACATTATACAATGCGGCACAAATTACCACTATCTGCATTTTTACAAACGGCTGAACGAATGGTCAAAGATTGGTCTATTCAAAATGAACAAACACCATTTGGAACTCATATTACGTACAAAGATGATCTTGATTTAGAAGCAGTCGAATGGGTGAAAAAAGTTGATAAGACACAAATATTACAATTGACCACATTTAACTTTGTGGTACCATCAAAAGATCAAAAAATAAACACATCAACATGGGTTAATCTATTACATTCAATGGCATGGGATTCATATGATCATTTTAAAGATTGGCTTCATTCAGCACGTTTATTAGATTTTTCTCGTTTTTTACCACCAATATTTTGTACGTGTCGATATGGTCTCAAAGAATTTGCCTGTGTTCATGCAGTTGGTATGATGATGTTATGGGGTACTCGACAAATGCCGCAAGAAATTGGAAAACGTCGAGGAAAAGGTCGTCCGAAAAAAGTAAAATATGCATTATCAAAAGACTGACATCATTATTAGGATTATTACTATCCTCATCGTCATCATATAATATCTCTGTTTCTGCGTTTATGTTTATTTGTTACAAATTCTCATAAACTTATACATTAATTCCTCATGGTATTTGTATTTGTTGAAAGTTTTTGTAAATAGATGAAAAAAGAAATTTCTTATTTATTAGTTTTAAACTACTAAAAATTACCACAAAAATAATCTGTTATTAAGCCTAATTAATCTATGATAACAAGATAGTATTGTGTTAGTTATAAACTTGTGCAAAAAACAACCGAGATCTCTTCCATGTTTTCAATCCAATTAACTGAATTGAGATCTATTACATATTTTTTCCGAGATCCATTCCATGATTTTGAAATAAAAAAATTTATTTTTAAAAATCGAGATCTTTTCCATGTTTTTTTATACAACTAAGTCAATCGAGATCTAATCCGCGATATTTCCGAGATCTTTTCTCGTTTTGTCCGTTTTTTTCGTTAAATTGATAGAACGAAAAAGCATATGCAACATATAAAATTTCCTTCATGTCATCTATAGATGCCTTACGGCATTCAAGAAGTTAATAAGAGCGGTTAGTTAGTTGTTTCAAGTAAAATAAAGTCTGTTTCAACGAAATCAAAAGTTATTAAAATTTAAAGTTCTCGACAGCAGAAAAAATCGACTGTAGAGGGACCACTAGTCCTGTAACGAATGTCTCTTTTTTTATTCTCTACTGATATGTGGATTGGGCGAGGAGTGTGTCTGTTATAGTCACATTGATGCAGTTCAGATATCGGTGAACTCCGTTGAAATTCAATAGATGAAATCTTAAAATTAAAAGAATTCATTTGCCAAAGAGGATTTTCCATAAAAATGGAAGTTTGACGAAGAAAACTGCAAAATACGAGTGCGTTTCTTTGATTTTTCCTAAGGTGTTTACTTACGGTGAAAGAAACAGCTTCCTGTTTCGAATAAGAAATATCTAAATATAGGGCTTTGTAGCGAAGAAAAACTCTAAAAAACAGGACTCATGTCTGTTATTTTACGCAGCGCATGTATCCTCAAATATGCCCTTCAGTTGCAAAAAGATGTCTTAACTTCGTGGTTTACCATAGGTATTAGATGTAAGGCAGTGAACACGTCTAAAATAGCCTATTCGATGCAGTTTTATTCGTAGATTGCAAATATAGCATTATTTTTTATTAAAACGCGGAAAATGAGTGAAAAAACTTGATTTTTATTGACACGAGGGCCCAAATAATGTAGGCATGTCGAACAAAACATTTTCTTTTCAGTAGTTAGGACAAAGACTTTTCCAATTATTTTATGCGCAATAGATAGACTGTATGTGCGGGCAGTTTTTAAGAGTAAAACTGGAATGGCGAATGGCGCTTTATGTCTTACCTAACTGTTTATTAACGAGGTACCATTCCCACGTGTTCGTCGCTTTTTTGGATAAAAGAACATTTTCAGGGTTACTTTTTGATACTGATTCTGATGTTCCTTTTTGCTGATGACTCTTTCTTAGGTGGTTCTGTTAGCCTATTCTATAATGAAGAAAAATAAAAATAAGAAAACGAAAGAGAAATCCACATGTGTAAATCGCGTGTGCGTTCAGTAAGAAATTATGTAAATTATACGTTCGATGTCTTGTGATATGATTAACAGAAATCGAATAGTATGCTTAACTTTCGTCTTATTTAATTCAATTAAAAATCATAGCACGAAAAAACCTTTCGTTTTAATCATTTTAAATAGCTAAATAAAATCTAGTTCAAATAATTAAAATATTCTGTTATGCAGTCCTGCCACTAAATACAATTAACTTTGATTTTTTGAGTTAAAAGATCCCGTTTTCTTAGAAAAATTTCTGAACCAGAGCATCGTGGTTTCATTTTGTATTACACGCTTTAGTCTGCGGAAACTTGATGGAAAAAATTAGGTATCCTTAAACATGTGAGATGTTGAGTTCTCTAAGTGTGTACACAGCTTTTCTGAGGCGCAGGTGTTTTACTGAGAGTTTTTTCTTATGCGATTAAAGATGAAGTATACATATGATCTCAAACCATTGATATGTAAACTCGACCGCTTGTTACAAGAAGATTATACATAATTTATTCCCGCGCCTTACGCATTCGGTTCTGAATGTGTAAGGCTACACCTTACTGTACTGCGAATTTTCTTCGAGAATATGATGTAATCAAATTTCGTAATGCGTAGAGCAGGTTAAGTTTAAGAAAAGTGGGTCCCCCTGAAGTGGATAAACCGTAAAACTCACAAGTCTGTTTTCCTCAAAGAATAATGTGGAGTTCAATCAGATAGTATCTGATTGAACTCCACATTATTCTTTTTCGAATGTCGTTCAATAAAATGTTTTGGAGCCGAGCAGATTGTGAGAAAACCTGAAAAACCTGTATCTCGGTCCAGAACGATTTGGGCTAATACAGTACACATATTCACAGATGCAACCGGTCAAGAAAATCATGAACCCTACCGGCGAACATGTGCAGACCGGACCGGATCGGCCGGCTGACCGACGATTTCTAAAACATGTCGACTGGAAAGAGATCGGTACTCACATTTCCCAAGAACTGCTTCAGGATAGTAATTGGCATAAGAACAGTGGGTCTTTTCACATATATACTATTAGAGTTCATAGCAAAAGAGTTTCATGATGTTGATTCGCTGTTGAAAAAATTATATACCTTTTTCTGAATACCCAGTAGTCACCTATGCACTCTTGTGATTGAAATTGAACGTGAAAAGAGACTTGTTACTAAGCAAAATTCTTCTTTCCTCTTTCGCATTGTCTACATAGATTAACAACAAACTTATAACAAGTTGTATGAATACAAACACAATACCAAAAGACGGAGCTAAAATATTACGTTAAGTTCAAGTATCAGAGACAGTTATATAACAGACATTAGTCAATACATGTACGCATTACGTACAGACAGGAAAAATATGAATATTTCAAGCAGAGAATAACGAATGCAATTATTATCCTTTCTTTGGGCAGTACAAAATGATACTAAATATGCTTCTTTCTGTCGTATTTTCTAGTTATAAGCCAAGCCGATCGGGCCCGGTCCAGCAGTTTGACCAGAACCGATCGAATCGGGCGGTTGATAAGTCTCGACCGGACCGGATAGGGAACGGGCACCCGGTTCGGCTGCATCTCTGCACGTATTATATAGAGAAGAGTGTTTTCTGGAAGTTCCATTTTATTTGGACTTTAGGAAAATTACGAAACTCACTTTACCAAACAGGTGTTTAAGAAAAGCTCTGAGCGTAGAAAGAACGATTACTTTTTTTCGTAGGAAAGGAGTAAAGTTAGAAGAACATTTTTTATAAACAGGTAGATCACGAGCTCTACTTTCAGAATATGTATGATTTATTCCTTCACTCCTTCTACCTTCTACGAAAAAATGTATTTTCCTAAAAGACGACTAAACTTGGACCTTTTTGGATATCGTTCTAATGACAGAACTTAGAGCTTCTTTCTTTCTTCGACTTTATTTTTAGATTTTCACCATTCAAATAACGTTTTTATTCAAAATAAATGTCAGATTCGTCGTCAGCACCGAAAACTGAGTCGAATCATGTACATTTTATCATTTCTACATGACTTTGATTCCAGGTCTGAAACTGGATTCTGGAGCTTTTCGCCGTGAAAAGTCAACCTTTTTCAATTTTGAAGGTAATATTCGAAATCTGCTATCGGAAAACATCTCAAACGCGCACAGGACATAAATTTAGATCCGAAGATTTTCACGTTGTTTTGCTTGAAAAACACAAATACAGGCTTTTATTGAAAGAGTCGTTAGCCATAAGGGCTATTGGTCCTGTGAAATGAAACAGATCGATCGGTTCTATTTTATGTCTATTATGGAGACGTAGATAGTGGGCGGTTACTAAAGAGTGCAATAGATGTTGGTTAGCGTTATTAAGAATTATGTGTACTATTGTCAAGGCTTTCTACTCAATTTCTACTAGACAATGATATAGCCAATATGCGAGTGTTTTCTTTTCTCTATTTCAATTTTTAAGTTTTTATTTTCTGTTACAGTTATTTGTATTGAGTTGATAATGACCATAATAGGTTGAAATGCTGTCACAACATAAAAGAATGTTGTCATTTCGCATAGCTGTATTAACAATATAATTTATCTTAAAGTTGTTGTCCATCTCAAAAGAAATATGAGAGTTAAATTATTCGATTCAGATATACATAAATTATTTTTTAAGGTATATGAGTTACATTATGTGTATTGTAGACTTGAAAGAGAGAGGAATTTATTAGTAAATTGTATAGAGAATTTTAAGGGCTATCCAATGGTATGTTTTTGAAAAATATATAATTTTTCATTAGGGCAGAAAAATGACTAAAGGAGTATCTAAAGCACTAAGGTAGGTGAAAATGATGATGTCGGCCAAATGTTTAGACAATTGTGCTATATGGGCATAGTTTTCAAAGACTTATTTATAGCCTATTTTGAAGCCCAGAAAATTCTCTCTCTTTCTGTATACAAAATATTCCGGTTCTGAGTGGATGAGTTCAAGAAATATTTTTTTAAAGCACTAAGATAGGTAAAACCGATGATATGTGCCTAGTATTTCTACTATTGACCCATGTGGGCATATTTTTGAAAACCTCATTTACGCGCTCATTTTGAAGCCTAGAAAGTCTCTATGTTACTATGTATGAGCTTTGCTCAAGGACTTTGAAATCGGACGGTAAAGTTGGGAAAAAATGTGAATGGCTTTTGTTGAACTGGTAGCGAAAGATGGAAAGTAATTTTTGTTTGAAAGACAGCAGAAAGAATTTTTGAGAGTGGCAAGTGTTGGGAAGTGAAAATGGAAGCATTTGCGATCATTTTCATTCAAAATCATATTGGGCCATTTTCTAGCAGAAACCGTTCTCTGTTCTTTGCGATAGTTCGAATAGTTCCTCCTACTGCTGACTTTTCTCGAAAAACGATCATTGCCACGACACTTAGCGTGATAGATAA